GGAGGTAGAGAGGGGAGCAGTTTGTGGGGGAAGGTTAGGAACTAAGTTTTGGACACAGGAAGTTTGAGGCCATCATAAAGACTTTATCTGGGCACTCCAACAGTTTGTGGGTATCCCCCCCATATTCTGACCCTCTAGGAGCAGACTTTTCACCCACCTTTCCCCCCTCCAGATGTGTTCAAGAATGCCCTTCGCCTGGGGACTTTCTCAGCGGTGCTAGTCACCTACGCAGCCAGCGCCCTCCTGCACGTGAGTAGGGCACAAAGGGGAGCAGGGAGGAAGCTGGATGGGTGTGGAGGGCCTCCTCTTTCCTCCCTCGTTGCCCTCTGCCAACCCCCTCCCCCCCCCCAACTCAGGGCTTCAGCTTCCACCTGGCTGCTGTGCTGCTGTCCCTGGCTTTTATCACTTACGTGGAACACGGTGAGTGCAGGGCCCAGCCCAGCACGTGGGATGGGAGGTTGGGGAGGGCAGCTGGAATCATCATCCCCTGAGGCTAACCTGACCCCTTTACCTCTCCCCCCAACCCAGTCCTCCGAAAGCGCCTGGCTCGGATCCTCAGTGCCTGTGTCTTGTCGAAACGGTGCCCACCAGATTGTTCACACCAGCATCGCTTGGTGAGGGTTCAGCCTGGGCAACCTGGTGCCCAACACTTCCCCTCAAAAATGTTACTTCCGTCTCCATCTTAAGTCTATCTCAGAGTGCCTACCTTCCTCTTCCAGAGCCTGAGCCATCCCCATAATCTCACCTTTACTCACTGGCATTCATTTTTCTTAACAAACTTATCCAGCATCTACTAGCCTCACACCTGGCATAGGTTTCCCCAGTGAACATCGACTGAGCTCCTGGTGGTAGCAGGCACTGTTCTAGGCACTGGAGACACAGTGGTGAACCAAACAGGTCAAAGTTCCAGTCCTCAGGGACAAGCATTTCACAGGGGAGATAGCAAATGAAAAATAGCTTTTTAGGCTGGTGTAAATGCTAAGGAGAAACTACATGAGGAAAAGGGGATGGAAAGTATCAGAGAGCACTTGTCACTTTAAATAGGGAGGTAACTTTTAAGATTTATTTTTATTTATTTGTGCATACAGAATTGGATACAGGCCAGAGGTGCAGGGCCGGAGGTAAAAGGATTCACCAGAGACAGAGTGGGGAGCAGAACAGGCAGATCGACTGAAATACACTGTTGAGGAGAGCAGCAGGGAGACAGGAGAGGTCTGCTGCGCCATGTGGGTACTCTCCCGGGGACCGGGATTGAATCCAGGCCACAGTGGCTGCTGATAGCTTGATAGCACTGAGACTTCAACCCCTGCAGCACCAGGAAGGCCCTGGGAGTTGACTTTTGAGGTCTTTAACTGAAGGAGGTGTGGGAGAGAAGCATTCCAAACAAAGGGAACGATCAGTGTAAAGGGCCTGCGATGGGGGAGGGAAGCACAGGCCCTGCGGGTCATGGCAGGGATTCGCTTTCATTCTTCATTCTGTGACAAGAAGTGTGGACAATTAGATCTGGCTCCCCCTGACCATCAGTGTTTACCACCATAACCCCTGACTCAAAACCTAAGTGTTCTTCCTTCTCTACCTGGGTGCTCTCCCCCAGCCTGGATGCCCTCATGCTAACGTACCCTCGTCCTTAGAGACCCGGAGTTCCCTTGGGAGGATGGAAACCATCCCTCCCACCCCGGGGGATGCGCTAGTCATCGTCCTTGCTGGACCCTCGGGGTCATGTCTGATACATCTCCCTGGGCCCCCCTCCCCAGGTGGGGATGAGATACAGGTCCAAGCGCCAAGTGTATCCATCTGTCCCCCACAGGGCCTGGGGGTGCGAGCCTTAAACCTGCTCTTTGGGGCCCTAGCCATCTTCCACCTGGCCTACCTGGGCTCCCTGTTTGATGTCGATGTGGATGACACCACAGAGGAGCAGGTGAGGTGGGGCCCTGGGCTAGGGATTCCCAAGGGATGGTGCTGCCAGCTCATGGAAACCTGTCTCTAGCTTGTGCAGCCGTGTTCCTTAGTCCTTGCACCTCTGGGTGACTCACACAGTTGGGTCTTTCATTTGGGGGAAGTATGAAAACTATGTTTATTTTTAAACTATAACATTTATATTATAGCCATGGGGTACAAAACCCAAGTTTCACTTTTTTGAAAAGTACTGGTCATTTTTTGTTGAGGTAAGAGTTCTAAATTGCAAGTTGACTTTATTTGATTTTTAAAAATAGTTCATGTTTACTCAGGTTGAGTGTGCACGCTCTGGATTCTACTTCAAAAATTTATATACTTTATATAAAAATTTATGTACTATTTTTATTCACATGGAGCGTGCACATTCCAAGATTTTATTCCTTTTTAAATGAAACATGATTTTGGAAATGTTTATTCATATGGCTCTTGCAGGATACAGGTTTTGCTTCTCTTTTAGTTAAGTTTTTAGTTGAAATAAAACTTTGTATGATTTTTGGGTTTTTTTTTTTTTTGGTTTGTGTTTTTGTGTGTGTCTCCATTTATTTACATTTGCTGGATTTTTTTTTAACATTTTGCAATTTTTAGCATATACACCCTGAACATGTTTTGTTAAGTATTTATCAAAGCCTTTCATTTTCTTTTTCTTTTTTTTTTAAACATAGAAAGTTTTTTTTCTTTGTATACATTTGGAACAATTGTGATCATTCTTATTTTAACATCCACATTGGAATGTAATTCATATGCTATACAATTCACTCATTTAATGTATACAGTTCAATAACTTTCACTTATACCTAAAAGAAGCTCTACTTATATGATTTTTGTCATGAAAAAAATTTTTAATTTTTCTTCAGATTGAGTGTGCAAAATCTGGGTTGTGCTTCTTTTTAAATAAAGTTTTTGTTTTATTTTATTTTTATTAAAATGTTTAAAAATAGCTAGTGCCTATCACATAGTTCAAAAACCAAACTGCATTCAAGGTATTCAGGAGAAAATCTTAATTCTCTCACTACCCCTTGTCCTCCTACAGGTAACCACTTTTATTCATTGTTCAAAATATATCCTTCCAAAATTTGACCCAACCAGCAAATATAAAATTTATTATTTTCATCCCCATCCCCCCCCAATTTTTACCCTAACACATGAATGACATGGTTCTTTCTGCCTGTCAACACTTTCAAATCCTTCCTGCAAAGCCTTCACATCAGTATACAGAGTTTTCGTTCATTTTCCCACTAAGTTTTTGTCAGTATAGTTTGTCCCATACAGGCGGACAGCCAGGTGATTTCCAGTCCTTTCCTATTGCAAATGATACAGCAGGGAATAATACCCTCAGACCCCTGTAATTCACACGGATGCAGACAGAACTGTAGGATGTAGTCCTGGGGCAGCAATGGAGACTTACCTTTCTGCCCTCGCACCAGCAGTGCAGACCAGGCCTGTCGCCCCACCCACTGAGTTCCTCTCAGACTTCCTGGATATGTTTACCACTGTGATAGGAGGAAGATAATGACTGAGGCTGAGTGTCTTTTCCTATGTTTAAGAACTATTCATTTTTTCCTTTACTGAAAATGGCTTATCCACCTCCTTTGCCAATTTTTGTCTTTAAAAAAAAATCAATTTCGAGTTCTCTATCAGGGAGAATACGGATTAGAGTAGGATTGCCTTGTCTTTTTTTTTTAATGATTTTCGAAGAAGAAGAAGAAAACACAAAAAGAAGACTAAATGTGTTTACCTCTCGTATACCCAGTCTCTTTTCTGAGGACCCCCAGAATGTTGAGCAAAGGATGGGTTCTCCTGAGACCTTTGTTCTTGCTGAGTAGGACTGTCACCTCTTTCTCTCCCACAGGGCTATGGCATGGCATACACTGTCCACAAGTGGTCAGAGCTCAGCTGGGCCAGTCACTGGGTCACTTTTGGATGCTGGATCTTCTACCGTCTCATAGGCTGAGGCACATCTGTGGACCTTCACACTCCCTCAAAGCCCCTCCTCAGGGTGCCAGCTCTGAAGGGGGATGAGGGAAGGCCCTATCTCTAATTCTTGACCCCTCTCCATCCTTGACCCACCCCAACACTCTCTCTCTGTCTCAGTCTGTCTTTCTGTCTCTGTCTCTCCCTCTCAGCTCACTCTCTCTGAAGCTCTCTTGGGCTGGAGTGCTCTCTCCCTCTCGCTTTTGCTGTCTCACTCTCTCTCCTGCTCTCTCTCTCTCTTTCTCATTTCTCTCTCTCTCTCTCTCTCTCTCTCTCTCTCTCTCTCTCTCTCTCT